GGTTCTCTAGTCTGTTTCATGTTGTTTGTGGGTGACAGACAACATCTTTATGGAACCTGGAGAAATTGATAAATGGTCAAGTTCTGGAAAAACTAGCCATAATATTTGTTGCTCAATCTCTGTGTAATGGGAAATCTCAAAATTTATTTATACCCTGGATAGCTCAGTTGATAGAGCATAAGACTCTCAATCTAGTATTATGGATTTGTGCCCCATGTTGGGCACCATATATAGGCAGACTTTATTTTGGACTGCAAGATTACAAAAAAAAACACAAGGAGGCTTACTAATTATTAAAGATCTGTCTTAGGCTTGTTTCTAACTAGCTCTTATAACTTAAATTAACACATTTCTATTAATATGCATGCTTACCTCTCCTCCTCTATATTTTACTTCCTCTGTATTCTGTTGGCAACTCCCTCCTTTTTTCTCAGATGTCTCTGTCCTCAGAAGTCCTGTCTAACCACTTCCTGCCTAGCTAATGGCCATTCAACTCTTTTTATTATTTATTTTTTATTCATTCATAGGTCTTCCTCTTTCCCCTCTTCCCATATCCTCACCTCCTACCCCCTTCTACCCCTCAGAAAAGGTAAGACCTTCCTATGGGGAGTCAACAAAGTCTGACATATTAACTTGAAGCAGGATCAACACCCTCTCCCTGTGTCAAGGATGAGCAAGGCATTCCACCATAGAAAATGGACTCCAAAATTCAGTCATTTACCAGGAAATAGATCCTGGTCCCACTGCCAAGGGCTCCTCAAACAGACCAAGCTACACAACTGCCACCCACATGCAGAGGGAAGCACACAGGTTTGTACAGGCTCATACAGGTTCCCAGCTATCAGTCTAGAGTCTGTGAGACCCCATGATCTCTGGTCAGCTGTCTTTGTGGGTTTCCTCATTATGATCTTTAACATCTTGCTCATATAAACCCTCCTCCTACTCTTCTACCAGACTCTGGGAGTTTAGTCTAGTACTTGGCTATAGATCTCTGCTTCTGCTTCCATCAGTTACTGGATGAAGGTTCTATGATGACAATTAGGGTAGTCACCAACCTGATTGATTATAGGGGAAGACTAGTTCAGGCACACTCTTCACTATTGCTAGGAGTCTTAGCTGAGGTTATCCTTTTGAATTCCTGGAATTTTTCTAGCATCAGATTTCTTCTTAACCTTATAATTGCTCCCTCTATTAAGATATCTCTTTTATTATACTATGATTCTGTCTCTCCTATCTCAAGTATCCTGTTCCCTCATGCTCTCATCCCTATCTCCTTCCCTCTACTACCACCTGCCCCTAATTTACCCAGGAGATCTCATCTGTTTCCCATTCCAGGAGGTTCCATGCATCCCTTTTAGGGTCCTTTTTGTTACCTAGTTTCTCTGGAGCTGTGGATTATAGACTAGTTATCTTCAGTTTTACATCTAGTATCCACTTATGAGTGAGTACATGCTGTATTTGTCTTTCTTGGTCTGGCTTACTTGCTCAGAATAATTGTTTTCTAGTTCCATCCATTTGCCTGCAAATTTCATAATGTTATTAATTTTCACAACTCAGTAATAATCCATGGTGTAAGTGTACCACTTTTTTTAAATCTATTCTTTGGTTGAGGAGCAAGTAAGTTGTTTTTAGGTTCTGTTGAGTAAAATATACTTGTAGTATTTTTAAAGGTATCTTTTTCTAACTTTAGCAATACTCTTTTGAGATCAAATAGAAACAAAGAGAACAATATAAAGAATCAATAAAACAAAGAGTTGGGTCTTTGAGAAAACCAGGTCTTCATTAAACCAATTACAATGACACATCTTACACAGTGTAAAGGAGTATACCACAACACAGAAAACAATGAGAAAGGATTGTAGGAGGTAGAGGGGTCAAGATGCTGCAAAAAAATACACTGCAGAGCTCATAAGAGCTCACAGAGACTCAACCTACAATCAAGAAATCTATGTGGGCGTGACCTACACCCTCTGCTTAATGTTATGGTTGTGTAGCTAGATGTTGCTGTGAGAATCCTAATAGTGGAAGAAGGGGCTGTCTCTGACTACTTTGCCTGCTCTGGGGGGACTCTTTTCCTCCTACTTGTTTGTTTTGACCAACCTTAAGGATATATGCCTAGTTTTACAATAACTTGAGATACCATATTTGATTGCTATCCCTTGGAGGCCTGCCCATTTTTGAGGGCAAAGGAGGAGGAGTGGAACTAGTGGAAGGGTACTTAGCTGTGGGAGGGATTGGAAGGAGAGGAAGATAGACAGAATGCATTATGAATGCAATATATCAGAGAATAAATAAAAAGTAGAAATACCAACACCATATAATGAATAGCGAGCAACTTTAAAGCCTTGAGTCCAGAAAGATAAAGAGAAACCCCTGTTAATGTGGAGTATACTATGAAATATAGCCCATGGTTTCATGAGTTGAACTGTATCTTCAGCTCATAGTCCAGTTATGTGCGGTGGGTTTGAGTGGGGAAAAGCTGCTAACAGGGCCATGTCTTTGGATGTTATATGGAGTACTGAAAATTCTGATTCTTTGCATTCTGACTATGAAGTGCTGAGTCTTCTTTGCCAAAAGCTTCTCCACCATGATATACTGCACCATTATATGAAGCCATGTACAGTCAGACTCAATCCTCTCAAACCAACAGACCAGGACATTCATTCTTCCCTTAAATTGATATGTCATGTAATCTTCACAGAGTTACAAAATTTGATCACCCCATGTTTTATGGCTTCTCTGATGCATGCACAAGTTCTTGGAACAGTGTTTTAAGCTAACATGAAATGACCCACAATGTGCTTATTTTTCCTCTCTACCATATGGCTAATAATGAGGCTACATGATGACAGAGGACAACTTGGCAGATATTTAGGATTAGAAGTTTATAATCCAAGATTAGGTAACTATGACTATAATTCCTCATATATAAGCATTTAATTCCTTTCTTAATTAATTTCTAACAGGCAAATAGCTAAACTAGTGTCTCACAGAATAAAGAATAGTAATAATTCTCCAATAATTTGACTGTTTATGGGAAGAGGGTTGAGAGGAAATTTAGGTAGGAAAGGCTGTGCAGCCTGGTTATTATTAAAAGTCTACATAAAGCTTGTAGTGAGAATTGTGAGCAAAGGGGAGACTAGAATTGTGCAAAGCACATGTGTTTATGGTTTCAACTGTCCAGAAACTACTGCAGTCATAGACCAAAGGATAATGTTTCTCCTCAAGGTAAAACATTGTATAAGCAGCGGCATTGTAGGTGTGAAGTATCAAAGTGTTACAGAGTTCTGAAAGCTTGCATCTAGATGGCCTTTGAACCACTGTGTAGAAATAGCAGATTCCTTAAGGTAACTTGTGAGAGGTCTCTGCATGAAGCTGTACTAGAAGTCCAAATTGCAATGCATACTAAGAGTTTTAGAGTTGCCAGAAGTATGGGTCCTCTGCTGAGAAATACTAGTAGCTTGGAGTTATGTCTGCTTAAGAGAGACTGTGCTCACAGAGGTAGACTGCCTACGTCTCTTGGACCTCAGATGATGCAAGCACATACCACAGACACTTCACAAAGAGCATCGTGACTTAAGGCTTATTCTTCAGAGTCATGTTTTTACATGCCTCCCATTTGGCATGGAAATGTATTTCTTGAACCACTGCATATTGGAAGTATGTGAAGCTTTGTCTATTTATTGGAAGTTCATAGACAGCTGGACTTGCTTTGTGGCTCAGAGGGGATTTGGGACTTGGGCTTTTGATCACTTGGAACTATTATGAGAGTCAAGCATAATGAGAAATGTACTTCTGTTTTGAAGCTGGGTCCTGTGAGTCTTTGTTGTTGTGGCAGCCTGAGCTACCTAAGTGAAGATGCTCTGAGCATACACTATTTTTTCTTTTCCTCAAGCCCATTGTGTCATCATTGCCATTAATCCCTCCAAAGAATCCCTGGAAGCATCTGTTGGATCTGCTATAAAAATCATTTAGTTTGGTGAGCCATGAACAAATGGAGATTTTAGAAAAGCAGGTGAGAAAATGTGGTTGTGTCTCACTCTCCAGGCTGACACGAACATGCAGATGATAGATTTGAATGTGGATTTAATTCATATACAGTTTGTATTTTGTGACTGCTTGAGTGAGTTGAAGTGACTGAGAAGCAAAAATTTAGAGGAATAATGTATTTAAAAATATTATTCAAGGGCTTTAGAAATGGCTCAGAGGTAAACACCATACAATATTCTTGCATAAGCCCAGAGTTTGGTTTCGAGCAACAATGTCAAATAGCTCTTAAAATAGTGTTCCTGCAGTACAAAGATAACCAACACCTCTTTGCTCTACAGACATGTTGCTTACATGCATGGACCTCCATGAAGGCTCAAATATATATGTAACTAGAAACAAATTTTTAAATTTCTTTTCTTCAATTTTCAGTACCTAAGCACCATAGAGATTCTCAGCTTTTAAAAGATTAAGAAAAATATAAGGAAGACACTGCACTGTGTCTTAGGGTATGCAAGACTCCAGGCATCAAGACTGCTCATGATGAATTTCAGTTTGTCAAGAAAATACTAGAATAATTAGGACATTTGTGATAAGTGTAGTATTATGCTATCTATCTTAAGTTATAAATATATAATCTGTCATGAAGCTATTCTGAACAGGTGTGTATGGTACTTACATATTAAAACAAAATGTATCATACCTGTTAAAAATCATTAGTAATTATCATGTAAAAATATGCTGATAATCGCAAGCACATTAACCACTGTAGCTACTATACCTCACACACCATAGAAGGACATGAGAAAATCCTTATTGTTAGATGAATTCTTCATTATTTACAATTTTCTCAACTCTCAGACCTTGTTCTCATTTACCAACAAGTTTTCAGAAAGTGCCAAATAATAGGATATAAGAATGAAATGCTCACAGAGATGGAGCAGGAGAAAATATATTTATTCTGTCTTCATTTCAGGAGGAAGAAGTAAGGGAAAAATATAAGGAACACGTGCTTAATGAAAGGGAAGAGAACTCAAGTTGGCAGCCATGGTCTCCCGAATCCAGCTCAGGTAGTTGTAGACCTTGGTATAGACACCAAGCTTGCCTCTCAGTGCACATCCTGTACCCCAGGAAACGATGCCCTGGATCTCTTCATGGCAGATGACAGGGACACCAGAGTCCCCCTGGTCAGAATTAAAAAAATACCATTACCATATACTTATGTGAATGTGAGAGAATGGACTCCAAGATGGTTCTTCTTTATCATGGGGCTAACACAGCTGGTATTGACACCCTGGAAGGCAATGCAGACTCCCTGCATATCTAATTGTAGTTTTTCCATTCCAGCTCATCCTTTCTCTATAGCCTTGACTTTTCTAATTGGCATATAATATCAGGAAAGCCTGAGGATTTTGGTTATTACTTCCCATTTTCCTTGGTTTCTTGGCAGAGTTGTAATATCCTGTAAAGTAGCTTCTCTGACATTTTCTTTTATGTGATATTTATACACCATCTTATGTACATATTTGACTCTTGAGGCAACCATCAATATCATAGTGAGAAAACCTGTTTGTATTTTCATCATCGGCTTTTGTCATCTCACGTGAAATCTTCCAGACAAATGTGCAGGCTTCTCAGCCAATAGAAAGACACAGAAGAGAAAAGAGAAAAAGTATTTTTTTTTAAGCAGGAGTAAAAGAATAGTCACATTGCAGGAGTCCTTTCCACCCTCCAGGAAGCCAAGGCAGAATATGTTGCTGGTGATCTTGCCTGGGTAGGAATTTTTGTATGAACTGGAAGAAAGGACAGGGGCTTCCAGACACTGAAAAATCTGGGTATTTGCCTGTTGTGAGCAAAACTGGGAGAACACTTAGTATCTTCCATGAAAAGTCTGATTTTTTTTTCAATTTGCCAAACATTTGTAATGAAAAATACTTTTGTTTTAGACGTTTTCTTCATTAGTTTTAACTAGCCTGCTGTTATTTTTATGACAATATCATCATTGACTTCAGATTTCAAATACTGGAACAAAGTTTCCTAAAAGAGGTAGATACCATAGGGAAAACAAATACTTGGGTAACTTTTCTATTTGTCCCTTGAGATTTTATTACTTCCACATCCCTGATTACACTAGTTTAAATGCATCAGCATCTTTCCAATAGCTCATTCTTATTGTGTTTTCCACATTGTTTCAGACTTCAAACAGTGTATTCCAGCATCACCCATTTTGAAACTTCTGGGAATATGACTTACAGTGAGAATTTGGGCATGCCAGCACCAATATACCTCCCATATTTCATATCTGTACACATGGAACTTACATTCCATTGACACTTACCTCCAAGGTTCACAGTATTTCCCCAGCCAGACACAAAGCATTGAACACCTGTAGATGAGCAGGATCTGGGCAGAAAGATTGTGGACACTTGGGAGTTGAGGATAGCAGGCGACTTCAGGTTAATCAGCATGATATCATTGTCTGCAGTGTCTTTGTTGTACTTGGGGTGGCGAATTATCTTTTCTGCATCAATAAATTGCTCCCCACCCTCAAGGACCTGAATATTGTGTTCTCTCAGGCAAACCTGATGTTTCCTCTATTTAAAAAAAAAGAAGGAATTCCTAAGGATCCCTGTTGATCTGTTTCTCTTCCAAGCTCAAAGTTCAGAGTACCATCTTCTTAAAGCATCCAGTCCTGTAAAGTCTATGCAGTTAAGGTAGTATCCTGTCCTACTACCAATGTGCAGGATAGAGAGTTCCTTTGTATATGTCCTGTCAGTACATATTCACAAAGGACCATTCCCTCAGAGGTGGAAAGGGAGAACTCTTGGGCCTTAGAACACAGGAATTTGAGTATTATTCTCTTACCATCCCTTCTATTAGTGAGCTGCAGACAGTATGCACTGTTGATGAGGGAGCAGCTGGAAAGATGGCTCAGCTGTAAAAAGCTAGGCTCACTCTGATGTCCAAGGCCATCATTCAATGACACCTGGTAAGGAACGGAATTCTTCAGACAGTTGTAACCTCCAATGATCTTGCCATCATCATCACTAGCAGGGAGAGCAACTGGGAGAGAATTAGCACAAGAAGTCTTGTCTCAAAATTAGTCTTCTATATGAAGTTTATTCAAACCAATCAGAAAAGGCATGTGTCCTCCTGTTGAGCAAAATGTGGGTGTATTGTTTTAAAATGTACAATTTTTTTAACTTCAGCATACATTCTTTTGATATCACTGCTAATAGAATCTAAATTTGTAATAGTTATTTTCATATGTTCATAATATGTCTATCTGTCTTTCTGTTTGCCTCTCTTTCTCTCACTTGCTTGCTCTGTGTGTGTGTCCTGTGGAGAACAAAAACAACTCCTAAGAAACCACTTTATCTGTTTACTGCATGGAGTCCCAGTATCTATCCTGAGACCTAAGGCTTTGGGGCAAGCGCATTTCTATAGGAAACCATTTTCTGTAGACAGAAATCTCTGTCCCACCCAGTCCCACAGTCATTCAGTCACAAATAAATACACAGAGGTTTATATTAATTATAAACAGTTTGGCCTATTAGCTTAAAGCTTAAACTTATTATTAACTACCTCCTACAACTTAAACTAATTCATGTCCATGTGTAGCCACATGGCTTGGTACCTTTTCTCAGTAAGGCATTCTCATCTTGCTTCCCCTGCATCTGGCTGATAACTGCATTTCATTTCCTCTTCCCAAAATTCTCCCAGTGTGATTGCCCTGCCTATAATTCCTGCTTGGCTACTGCTCAATGTTTTATTAAACGAATATGAGTGACAAATCTTTACAGTGAACAAGATTATTATCCCACAGCAATTTTATAGCTCAGTTACTTCAGTTTACTTTTTGGACTTCTTTATATCTAACACAAACAAATTATTCATTTAGTTAATTTATTAGATAGTTTGTACACATCATTTAATCACCATCCCATGTTTTTCTTCCCCAAAGCTTCCTTTTATTCCAGTTAGCTACTGTCCATATATCAATGCATTTAGCAATTTTGGAAAATAATATTTTTATTATTCATACTAAATGCCATACATTTAAATAATTTTATTATGATATAAGCCCCCCAAATTCCTTATAATTAGAAAGACTGTAAAATATCTCTGGGCCATGCATTCCAATATCTTTCAAACATTAGAGAATTTACTAAATCAAACCCCATTTAAAATTGTATGAATTATGCCTTAAATTTAGTTGTATTAACCAAGAAAAAGAAATCTTTCTGTTGTTCACTAGTAAGTGATAGTATAATACAAGACTGATTTTATTAGTAAGCATTTTTTGAGATACAGCCTAAGGCTTTATGCATGGATAATAGCATATCTTTTCCCATTTTGATAACTCCATTACATCAGCAGACTTTGATGTTCCATGGAATCAGGATTTAATGTTCTGACCTTCTTGGAGCAGATAATGACTTCAGTTATTTAATACTACTTCATAAAGAAGGAAAGACACACATATGTGTCATGTGCCCCGTCTTTTCTTTTCTTGACTAATCCATAGAACACATGAATGCAGTAAATAATGTTGCTTGATCTCTCTTAGCTATTTGGAGTTGATACTCAAAATCACCTTTACTGTTTTTCCACCCACAAATCCCAAACTTGAATGTATGATAGATTTAGTGAAATATTCTTTGAAAGATTCACCAGCAGCTCCCAGAAAAGCAAGGAAAGTGAATATCTTCAGGACTTCTCCATTTGACTGGAGTCAACAGCAGGATGAAGGCTTTTCATTCGCAGCCATTGTATACCCCTAGTTTTGGTTTCAACAGACAGGACCAGAGTGCCCCCCAAAAAGTTATATCATTGAACACACACAAAATGAAATTTAGAGTTCTGTTCTGTAATGGATGAAAGGTGATTCAGCACCAAGTTTCCATATCCCCTTTTCCCCAGTTTTCCATAAAGGTAATTGGAATGGAAGTCACAACTCCAGCTGGCAACGCATTCTTATAGTAGGAGTGCATACTGTAGAAAGATCACAGGACAGAGCTCAAGTTTCCAGAATTTTAGACGAAAATTTAGGAAACCAGTTCTCTTAAGAGTGTGTCTTGTTTAGAAGGACAGCCTTAAACTCATCACCTCCTATGTTTATTTAATATTGGGTCTTTTAGAAGTGTATATCTTTTCTTAAGGTTTGCCTGAGATGCCACTTTGATATTATCTTCCTATTGTTAGAAACAACCATTTTTTATGAATAAGAAACTTATTATTACTTTAAATTATGCTGTTTAGAAAATAGAAGCTTAAAGCATGAAAATAGTTTCACCTACATATATTTCATTAACATTTTTGTCCTTTCTGTGACTATAATTACACAGGAACTAAGGAGTAATGGTTTTATTCTGGATCCTGGATTGAGGGTATAGTTTATCATAAGCCATGGAAGCAGTTTACAGCTGATGGTTTACAATTGTGTGTGCTCTCAATTCTCATCTGGGCAGATCAGGAAGCAGTGACAGCAAAAGAAGGGGAACTGATCACTCCCTTCATAGCCTTTCTCCCACACATCTATGACTGCTAGTACTGGAGGATTTGAGCCTGATCCATCTATTTTCTCTAATCTGTCTAGGCTCTCAGTGGTGGTAGCTGGAAATCAACTCAGGCACAAAATCTAGGACCTATAATCAACCTGTAATTCCTGAAAGATGCCCTGGGTCAATTATAGCTCAGAGCTTCTGGAGGTGACCACCAATGACTGGTCTAACCTGAGGCCCACACCATGAGATGGAGCCCATGTCTGACACTGCTTAGATGTCCAGGATCCAGAAGTTGGATGGCTCAGAGTTCTGGGATATAACCAAACAAGACTACCAAAAAAAGGGTATAAATGATTCTTAATGATATTTTATTGTGTTATTAGAATGGGGACTTAGCTCCACAGTCATCAATGAGGCTTCCTCTTGCAGATGTGTTGAGAGCAGTTACAAAGACTCACAGCCGAATACTAGGTGGAGCTTCAGGAATTCTGCAAAAGAGGAAGAGGAAGGAGTATAAGAAAAAGAAGGGTTGAGGGCACCAGAAAACATGACTAAATTAAGAATCATCTAAGCAGGACTTCTAAGGGCTCACAAAGTCTGAAGCAACAAACTGGGACTGTGTATGTTGTTATCATTCTGTGATTCTTTAGCTTGAAGCTTTTGTGGATTCCTAACAATGGGAGGGGGTGCATATGACTCTTGTCTGTTCATGAAAACTTTTTTCTCTTACTGAGTTGCCTTGTCCAGACTTTATATGATGATATATACCTAGCCTTATTGCATTTTGTTATGCATAGCTGAATTGATATACCCAGGGAGAACTGATCTTTTCTTCAGGGAAACAGATGAGAAGTGGATCAGGGAAAGATGTGAGGGGGCACTCAGAGAAGGGGATAGAGGAAAGACTGTTGCTGATATGTAATATATTAGAGAAAAGTAAAAAAGGAAGAATAAATAATGAGTGCCTCTAGGCATATGACTCAATCTCAGCCACCTAGGAAATTTTCCTTAAGTATGCTTTTATTATATTTAGGCTGTAAAAAGTTTCTAACCGGAGCCATGTGATCCTAGGCATATCTGAGTTGTTGGCAACATTAGAGGTCATTCATTTGATGATGGTTTTGCAAATGTGCAGAATACAAGTAGTACAATTCCATCAGTGCTTCCAAGCAAATTTGAAAGAAAACCTTGGGGTCTTAACAAGCATGTGGATTCATAATACCTGAAGGAAGGCATAAAGATCATGATTTTTTTCTTCTGTGATGGTGAAAACTAAAACCAGTACTTATTATAGAATCTTGGAAATGCTAGGACCAAGGAACATAAGAGCAGAAACTTCAAAGTTTTGAGTAGACACAAATCAAGAGACACCTTGTTCAAATGGGATAAAGATGGCAGGTGTGTAGATCTATTAATTCATATCAAGATTCCATATGTCATTGGTGCTGACTTGGTGCTTCGGGACTTACTGTTTTCCATTCTAACTGTTGTTCTTACTTGTAATCTGCTCCTTTCTTGCTTTGGTCCTGCTCCCTTTGTTTATAATCCAGTTTGTTGGAAGTATGTATTGTGATTTTAAGCTTAAAGGAACTCACAATGAAGAGGCTTCCTTGAGTCTTGGCATACACTGTTATTTGTTTCATTGAAATTAAGCCCAAGTTGGCTGCAAGTCTTCTGTATCTGAGACTATCCTTGAAAGACTGGTTATTGTGACTTTACTGACACTACAAGTATGTGTCATGTTCTCCTCTATGGAAAATTTGCATATATACTACCTTTCCAGTATTAAACTTTGAGAGATTCATTGAAGTGGTCTAAATACGTTTTTCATTACGAAACAGCCATGAACTTTTGGGTGCCAGTCTCAGAAAGTTGTGGGTCACATATGAAATATACCTCGCAGTCTTGTATGTTGAACAATTCTTTCACAGTTTATGGGACTACTTTGGGAGGCTGTGTAGAGTAGGAGGAAGTGGCATATGAGGTCATGACTTTCTATGTTATATCTAGTTCTAATTCTTTATTTTCTCCCTGTCATGAAGTTATGAGTCTCCCTGTCAGTGGTTTCTACCACCATGGTTTACTGCCAAAGTATATGAAGCCAGGTATCATTAGACTCAATCCAATCAAACAAAGAACCCTGATAAGTCTGTCTTTCCTCATTTTGTTATGTCACATAATGTTCACAGCAATACAAAAGTTCCTTGATTTCATGCCAATATGAAAAATATCGCATTATAAAACTAAAGAAGAGCAACAAGGTTATTATAAAATCAATCTTAATTTATCCAGTTACCATTCAAGAATGACCACTAGATAATAGGCATCCTCTAAAACTATCTTTACTGAGATCCTATAGAAATGTTAAATTTGAAGATATTTAAGGAAGCAATAGCTTCATATAGTATTCATTCAAATTTGTAAAGCTGTTGTTAAACTGTCAGACCACTCGGAACAGAATTATCCCATGTGATTGGCAAGATCTAGTTACAGCAGTACTGAAAACTAATCCTCAGTTACAATGGAAAATGTGGTGGAGAGAGGATGCTAGGTACATAGAACTGTGAAGATATGTGAAAAAAGATCCAAATCTCTCACCATGCACAATACTCAAGTCCAAATGGATCAAAGACCTCAGCATAAAGCCAGCCACACTGATCCTCATAAAAGAGAAAATGGGAAGTGCACTTGAAAACATTGGCACAGGAGACCACTTTCTGCATATAACCCCAGTAGCATAGACACTGAGAGCAACAATTAATAAATGGGACCTCCTAAAACCGAAAAGCTTCTATAAAGCAAAGGACACAGTCAACAAGACAAAATGACAACCTACCAATGGGAAAAGATCTTCAACAACCCAACATAAGATAGAGATCTGATCTCCAAAATATACAAAGAACTCAAGAAATTGTTCATCCAAAGAACAAATAATCCAATAAAAACAAATGGAGTACAGGCCTAAAGAGAAACTCTCAACAGAGGAATCTAAAATGGCTGAAAGACACTTAAGGAAATACTCAACATCCTTAGTCTTCAAAGAAATGCAAATCAAAAACAATTCAGAGATTCCATCTTACATCTGTAAGAATGGCCAAGATCAAAAACACTGATGACAATTTATGCTGGAGAGGTTGTGGGGTAAAGGGAACACTTCTGCATTGCTGTTGGGAATGCAAACTGGTACAACCCCTTTGGATGTCAGTGTGGTGATTTCTCAGAAAATTAGGAAACAACCTTCCTCAAGACCCAGCAATACCACTTTTGGGTATATATCCAAAGGATGCTCAATCGTGCCACAAGGACATGTGCTCAACTATGTTCATAGTAGCATTGTTTGTCATAACCAGAACCTGGAAACAACCTAAATGCTCCTTGACCAAAAAATGGATACAAAGCATGTGGTACATTTACACAATGGAGTAATACACTGTAGAAAAAAAAATAATGACATCTTGAAATTTGTAGGCAAAATGGATGGAGCTAAAAAAACATTATATTGAGTAAGGTAACCCAGACCCAGAAAGACAAATATCATATGTCCTCACTCATAAGTGGTTTTTAGACATAAAGAAAAATAACAGCCTACAATTCACAATCTCTGAGAACACAGACAACATTGAGGACACTAAGAGAGACATACCTAGATCTAATCTACATGGGAAGTAGAAAGGGATAAGATCTCCTGAGTAAATTGGGAGCATGGAGACCATGGGAGAGGGCTGAAGACGAGGGGAGAGGATGGGGGGTGAGAAGCGAAAGAATTCTGTATCAATCTGATAAGAACACAGACTGATTCTACCAGTGCTTGTGTGCTATTTGTAAATTACCCTACTACTTTGGTCCTAATACTATTCTCAGCAATGAATTTAATAGGTACCTTATAGACATTTAAGAAGACTAGACTTATACAGAGAACATAGAACACCCTAATAGCAGTACCCATAAAGAAAGCATTTCAGGATCTCCACTAAATGCATGATACGCAAATAGTAAAAATCTCACAAAGATTTTAATTTATTTCTATAAAAAATTAAAATTTAGTTTATAGTTATTCAAAGTAAAAAAATCACTAATTGTTAATAAAATAAACACAATATTATAATTAATTGTAATTATGTTGTTTTGCCACTAGGTAATTTTACAAAGCATAAGTTGGCCTTGAACTTGTGATAACTCATAATCTCCCTGACTTTCAGGTTCAGAGACTAAAATTATGTGCCACCATGCAAGGCAAAAGTTATTTCAAATTAAAGAATTATTCATTTCTAGAATTTTCCATGTATTGATTTTCTTTCTTATCTAAAGGTAACTGGGTCACTGCTTTTACAGATATTGAAACCCCATGTAAGTGGGATTTCTACATCCCTTATACTTTGTAAGGTTTAAAATATTGAAAAGTAATTAGGTATCATTACTATGCTTTTTCTCTTAATCTACTATATTTTAAATAATAAAATGATTACTTTCGCCAGGAAAACAACCTGTCTCATTAATAATCACACATGATAAGTCAGAACTTATCTACATCAAAGCAGCCAATATACCAAGTTATATTGTTATGATAACTTCTTGGAAAATTGTTCAAATGTCAGCAAATCAGTTATCAACATATTTGGTTAAGAATCTGGAAAGTTTTAGCTGTTACGTGTGACCTCATACCAATACATTTTCCTTTTAGGAAGACTAGTTCCAACCAGGTGGCTTTTCCACTTCCATTCCCACAGCTTTCTGGGGTAAAGTTAATTAAGTCTTGAGTTATGCTCCACCTGTCACAGAATAGGATTCTAAATTTAGATTTGTGAGTTTCCAGTGAAATCATTTTTTGGCACCTGAGACCACAGTGTCGTTGACAGACATGAAGGTATAAGTACTCAGGAGAAAAACATCCGTCTTATTGCCTGGTCCTGACCCAGTGAGCAGCCATGAAGATTTTCTTCTTTGTTCTACTAGGAACTGTTGGTGAGTCTTTTAAATTAATGAATCTACAAAAGTCAGAATTGTAAGTTTGTAATTTGTTCTGGGAAAAACAACAATGTTCATTGAATATAAGGGCTGACAACAAAAATTCAAATAGTAGAGGCATGAGTGTATAGTGCCTATGCTTATTAGAGATTAAATCTCACTTGATAGTGGAAATTCATAGTATCAAGAACCGATTCTCAAAGGTCGTCTCATAAAGAATCAGAAGGTGTTTTGAACTTCCATGTAGATTCCAGAAATTTAGAACTGAAGAGAAAGTATAGTACACACACACA